AGGCCGATAACAATAACACATAAGAAACAAAATTGCTGAACGTAACATTTGCTGAACATTTATTGAACACTGTTGTTTGCATTGTCTACAAATAGATCTGCAGTGCACTTATTGTAAATTAAAAAATGTTAACTTAAATGTCCACACGTAAACTTGTAAAAAAAAAAATAAAAAAAAATATGTGAATGAAATTTTAGTGCACTTGAGAGAGAACAAAAATTTGTAAACTTACATGAATAAAAAAAAAAAATAAACAGTTTTTAAATAATCAGTTCTCTACATGAAACAACACAGGAATTTTTTTTAAATTTTAATTTGAATTTTTTTATTCCAGTTGAGGGCACATCTCATAGAGAGCAGGGTTAGACCGTACTCTTTTAAATAAACAAAAAAAGTCCCTTTAAGGAAGAAACATGAGGTAGAAGTGGGGTAGGGGTTGAGGATAGAGGTAGGGGTAGGGATAAGGTAAGGTTAAGGGTAGGGGTTAGGGGTGGAGGTAGTGGTAGTGGTAGTGGTAGCGGTAGGATTAGGGGTGGAGGTAGCGGTAGGGGTAGGGTTAGGGGTGGAGGTAGTGGTAGTGGTAGCGGTAGGATTAGGGGTGGAGGTAGCGGTAGGGGTAGGGTTAGGGGTGGACGTAGCAGTAGGGGTAGGGGTAGGATTAGGGGTGGAGGTGGAGGTAGAGGTAGGGTTAGGGGTGGAGGTGGAGGTAGAGGTAGGTGGTTATGCGAGCCAGTGGTGTCGCTTTAGCTCCTGCAGCGTGGGGCGCTGATAAGGGATTCTGGTTAAACACTTATTCAAGAAATCCCTGCAGCCTGGAGAGAGAGAGGGAGAGGAAACATGAAGGTGACAGCTGCACTGATCCAGCAGAATGCGAACTACCATGAACAGATGTGTGTCTGCTGAGGTCTGAGCACAAGTGTGACTTTCTTACTGTTTGACAGCTCGTTGCTGATTTGCAGCCTGTTTGTCAGGAAGTCTATGGTCTCGAACACCGAGTCTTTGTGCAGGATTTCGTAAAGGACCACTCCCAGCTGCCACACTGTGGAGGGGCCCGGCCTGTAGTGACAACAGCTGTACCACTCAGGTGGCGCGTGTGTGGAGGTGCCTGGAATACACAGACATGATGATAAGATGGCGACAATAATGAGGAGGAGAAAATTTGTTTAAATGTAAAAGTCACAGTAAATCAGAGCAGTAGCCATTCTACAGACGTCTTACCATAGAATACGGTGTAGGATGATGTCTTCTTAGTGAAACAGCTCAGACCAAAGTCGATGATTCGGACGCGGGGTGTGTTTGAGCCCGTCTCGATAAGGATGTTTTCTATCTTGATGTCGCGGTGGAAAATGCGTTTCTCCTGGAGCTCCAGTGCAGCATTAACCAGCTGTTTGAGGATGATCTGGGAGACAGACAGAAAGAGAGTGAAGAAGGACTCTGAGGGGGTGCTTTGACATTTTTCACCAGAATACCACAGTGTAGAAATACTCTGTTCCACTTGAGTAAAAATATGTAAATATTATCTGAAAAATGTACTAAATTATTACAGGATGGTACAGATATGCAGAGGAGTGTTTCATTTTGGAGCCTCCAAGATCCTTAAAGACATTTTTTTAATTTCAGTACATAGAAACTAATATTTGCAACAAGCTAATAAACTGTAGAAAAAAAAAGTCAGGACTTCAGGAGCTCTCCTCTTACATTGCAGGAAAGTTACAGGTCATTAGGTTCCTGTGGTGGAAAAAGCTTTAAACACACATATCAACAAGGATGCTCCAGCAGCTCACCCTGCCCTCCTCCTCCTGCAGGCAGCCTCCCTTCTGCTCTGTGTACTTGAGGAGGTCCTCTGCGGGTACTGGTCTCTCTAAAACCAGGATCAGCTCCTGGCCCAGGTCATACCAGTCCAGGAGTGCGACGGGTGCGGACGTCCCCACTTCTCCTTTCTTTCTAGATTTTGCGAGTTTGAGCATAACAGCCACCTCCACCGAGAGCTCCTTCCCGTTTCGTGCCTGAAACGCCACAACAGAGCGGAGAATGAGGGAGAGAAGCTCCGTAGATAACCACAGTTCATCTATAGTACATGCAGGGTGTGAGTGAGTGTGGTGGTGCAGTTCTACAGTGGTCCGTGTGGGTCACTTACCACGTGTTTGCAGAACACTTTATCCATTGGTATGTGTTTTATAGCGACCTATAGGACACAAGCACAAGTTTGGCACTTTCTGACCATCCATATATGAGTGTGCGTGTGTGTGTGAGTGTGTGTACGAGAATGTGCGTGTAAATCTTACCGGCAATTTGTCAGATTTCCTGTAGCCGGCAAACACAGATCCACAGCCTCCTTCTCCCAGCTGATTCTGTTCTTCATATCTGGCCTTAAATCGAGCTAAAGGGACACACACAAATTGTGTTTTGCTTTACGTATGCTCTGTTAATCTCTCTCGTGTTGGTCAGACATCTCAAGACCTAAACAAGAAAGAACTATGTGTACAAATAGACACCACTAACTGAAGTCTGATTCTCTCACCTCTAGCAACGTCCACTGAGGGTTTCTTGGCACACTTGCTTGTCTTCCTCTTTTTCCTCTCCTCTGATGGTCCCTCTCCATCCCCTCCAACTTTCCTTTTCTCTCCTCTCACCCTGCCATCCTCTTTACAGCTGTGACATGGTTCAGTCACCTCAGATGTCCGCCTCTTTTTTCTCTGAGTTTTATTGTCAGGACTGGCCTTTCTCTTATTTTTGCTGTCCTCTGCAGGCGATGCACTCTGTTTTGTCGTGCTGCTGCTGCTGCGAGCTACAAATGAGGAAAACAGGATGGATCAGTTTGTTTGATCAATTTATAAGAAACTGTCTTAGTTATCATCTCACAGTGCAGACCCAGCTACAGAAACCTTATTAGGGTGAGAAACAGGGCTCCACAGCAGGAATCAAATGTCCATTTCAATGTACAAACTAAAATAATCCCCAATTGACCTGATGTGATCAGGTTTTTATCTGGGCTCTCACACCTACCACGATCTCTCCCCAGGGCCGGACAACCCTGAGTCTTGATCTTCCTCTCTGATTCTCTTTCCATGACGTTGTTCAAGAGGTTTGAAACACAAAAACCGGACAGTAACGTTTGTATGTCGACAACAGAGTTTCTGAGTGACTTTCTTCAGTTTTTTCAGTGGGTTAGTGAAGCGAACACGGAATGTAGTGATATGTCACAATGAGGTGTTCTAGAATATGCAAATGATGGACCAAAATTCTGCATATGGAATATTTAAATAGGTTCAGTTTATTAAGCCACATCGCATCACATCAAGGGGTCCGATAACTGATATAACAGCACAAACCGCTGCTACATAAAGTCTAATGACACCTGCCGTGGTGTCCAGGTGTTTCTATTGTTTTGTCCACCCGATTTATATCAATAAAGGTGGGCTGAATAACAGAGGAAAGAAGTACAGCTCATATAATCATAATAAAGTTTTTATCAACAGTTATAGCTTCTCCTGTGAAGCATCCCTAACTGCTGTATTGGCAGATAACAATGAATTGATAACACAGTATACATACAGAGTCTTACAGTGTGTTATTTACTGTTTATACATGCTGTTTATACGGATGTACATATTCCCAGGCGGCTGTAAAACAGTTTCAAGACTCAGAGAGATAACTGGAGCTTGAAGGTTTATTCTGATCTTGTAAATAGTCATGTGAAAAAAAAATTAAGTAAAGGTCGACTTATTAGATCTCCTCCACAGACTACAGCTGTGAATGTGACATTAAAACTGGCATAGACAAAGAAGTTTACTGTGTCACTGTAAACAAATCAACCACATCAGACCTTTCACTTTGACTGAGAACGTTTCTTGAATAACTTCACAACAAGGATTCCTAGGAAGCGGCGTGATTTCCAGCCCGGTTGTTTTATATTTAGATGTTATTTGCAGACAGTTAATTCTCCGGTGGACCTCCGTGATGACACCAGCTGTGGTTCCTAGAAGATTTATGAAGCAGCTGGGAAGCCTCTGTGTTATGTAACAGAATACAAATTAGACGGTGCCAAAAGTACCATCCGTTCAGCGACTGTCTGCAAACATCTGCTCCACTTTCACACCCTTGAGCAAGGCATTGGATCCCCACCAGCTCTTTGCGCTTTTATTAAAGGCACATTTGGATTTCAAATATCACATTGTATCTGTGTATGTACAAACTACACAAAATCAGTCAAAAGAATCTTTCTAATGCGTGGTAATCGTTAACAAGGTGGATTCTCAGGGGACTGAGAGGACGTTTTGAACCATTTACCACTGATTCACTTAAATCATGAAGAATTGAGCTGACGAGCAGCATCAGATTCCCATTAACCTGCAGTACACACACTCATTCATCCGCGGTGTAGTAGGTGGAACAGACTGAAAGGAGAGAGCAGGGCCAGAGAAAAAGGCAGAACTCAAACTCTTTAAGTGTATGAAATCATATTATATTTACTCAAGGCCTGAATGGGTTTTGAATGTTGTCTTACTATACGTGCTTGTATTTTATTTTTGTCACAGACAGATCTTGCATATTTTAAATATTAGATATTTTCACTGAGAGGACCTGGTCTCACTTAGCAAACTGTGGCCTTGAAATCTATATGTCATCATTCTGTGCTCAATCATCAGTGATTTGTGCGGAAATTCTTCAAATGTGTGTTATTACATTATCCGAACGGAATTAAACAGTTTTAGTGTTTTTAAATCTCAAATCCACTTTAACAGGTTTAAAAAAGGCTGCGGTCCCTCAGCGAGCTCACAGCCGGTGAGAAATCAGTCAAGTCATGCAGACTGAATACAAAATGGGTTTTACATTTAATTCTAACTGGCGTCAAATGGGTCTTAAAAAGGGAAGGCTTAAATTGCTGTGTCATGGTGGATGTCGGGTTGTAATCGCTGCCGTAAATGTTCTTGCCGTAGGAGCTCCAGTTTGAGCGGCTGACACGGGAGCTGGAGGAGGAGCGGCAGATTGTGGCGAGCCAGCTTGAGAGGTGCATGCTGGGGGCGGAGTCACCGGCAGGAGACAGTAGCAGGTAGATTTGGTGGTGTGATGCCCTATTTTTGTTTTTCGTGTTTACATGTTTTGCACTGAATAATAACAATATATAAAGTGTCTTACGTTTTCATCAACACCTCCCACTAAGAAGCGATGGCCCAGTTGTAGCTTAGCAACCGTGTCCTGAGACGTGTCCATGGGGCTGTAGTGAGTTCAAAGGGTGGCATCTTTTTCTCTAATCTTTCCCAAACCAAAAGTAGAAGAGAAAAGTGCAAAGAATAGATCAAAGTGTGTTTGTGCTGGTCCTAGATGATACTGTATCAGAGTTTAGGTAAACATCCGCAGTTTTGTCCAGCTTTTATTGGATTTGGAAAAGTTTACACTGCACAAACTCCTTCTCCAAATTGAGTTAAAAAGCCATTTCTCTCAATCAACCAATTAGTTGATTGGCAGAAATATAGTTAGAAACTATTTCAATAATCGATTATTTACTTATTAAGTAATTTTTTGGGGCATTTTATGCCTTTATTCGATAGCAGCAGTGGAGACAGACAGGAAATGCAGTGAGAGAGAGAGAGAGAGAGAGAGAGGAGGGGAATGGCATGCAGTAAATAGTCTGGCCAGCCGAGACTCGAATCCGCAACCCGTTAAACTTCTTTTTTTTTATAGTTATTTTTTGCCTTTATTCTGACAGCCACAGTGAGAGAGAGACAGCAAAGTCAGGGAGAGAGAGAGAGCGAGAGAGAGAGAAAGAGAGGGGATGACATGCAGCAAAGGGCCACTGGTTGGACTTGAACCCGGTTAGGACTGAGCCTTTATGGTACATGCTCCACCAGGTGAACCACCATTGCGCCCCTGAGTGATTTTTCAAATGAAAATATCAATGCATTAATCAGTGCAATTAATGCATTAACAAGCATGTCGATTTTCACTTCCACAAAGATATGGATAATCAGAAAGTTCTCAGATTCATAGATTAATTTTCTTTAAACAATGTTGATGAAATGATCTTGTTCTTGTTGCTGAGGCCTTTCCCTTCTGACCAAATATAATCTTTCACAACCAATTTCATGTAGGATTGAGCTGACTTTGTTAAATAACCCTAATAATGCCACCCAAAAATAATAATCATTGTTGTTATGTGGATTACAATTGGCTGTAAATCATGCACGGCTGCAGACTCCGCTGTCAAACCACGTAACAGTAATGTCTGTATTCATAAGGAATGTTGTTCAGCTCGTTGACAGTTACATTGTGCTGTCACTCTGTGCACAAACGGAAACATTCACATCTGCAAAACCATTGAATTCAGAACTGAGTTCAACACTGTTTGCATGAAGAGGGACATACAGTATATTAAGTGTTATTTAAGTTTGACCCTCTTATTTACCTTGTAATAGTCAAAATGTTGGTTTCAGATGCAAGAATGTTCCTCAAATAGCTTTAATGATCAATATCACAATATCTAATCAGATGTAGGGCTTTTGTTTTGGTCTTAATTTTGCAGATAATAGTATTTATATGTCCAGATAAAATTGTGTTTGTTGGTCTTATCAGTACAAAGGATTTGTTTCCAGCTGCAGGTGTTTTCTTAGCCCAGATAACACAGTGCAAGGCTTTTCTTCAGGTTATATAACATGCCTGATCCTCAGCTGGGGTCAACTCACTTTCTTTTTTTTTTTCAATTTGATAAGTGAATTGAAATTCGCACTATATTTACAGAAGCTTCATTCTCTTCAAGTAGCTTTTAGATTGAAAGTGAAGGAATGTTTTCGAGGCAAAAGATTCCCAAGATAGATTCAAGTTATTTTCTTTTACATTCGAAACGCCGTCTTCTTTCCTCTGCCTGGTCTGACTGGATATAAAGTATTGAACTGTGGCTCTGATTTGATTTACGTCTCTCTGTCTGCTCTCGCCTCTCTTCCATTTCCTCCACCTCCTTTTCTTCTGCTGAAGCTCATCTGAGAAGTCGTTTGCATGGAGATCTGCAGGTATGATTTCTCACTTCTAACCCTTAATGTTTTATTATAGAGAAAAATATATATGTTTGAAAAGATAAGGTCACTGAGGAATTGCTGCTTCAGGTTTCAAAACCAAAAGTGATAGTATAAAGTGTTACCCACTTGTACTGAAAAGCAAAAAGTCCTGTGAAAGCAAATATCTCTAGCAAAGCTCTGTGGAGTTTTATTTTCACACTAGCAGTAGTTTTAAAATGGTAAACACTACAGCTTGAAATGAGATCAAATCCATATCATTTTGGCTCTAAAGATGATGTATAAAGGTGTATAAAGTCATTTTTACCTCCAAAGGGCTGAAAATTGGCAGAATGCTGCGCCGACCGGTCGAGCAACAAAACACTGTTTGCTTTGAATCTACTGTTCTGTCACAGATGCCTCTCCCCCATTTCCTCACTCATTCTTCACTGTCGGCTTTCCAATAAAACAGAAGTCCTGCTAGACAGCGCTGTAGTCTTCTGTGTCAAAGAATTGCTACATTTCATTACTTAAGATGAAGAGGATCCTGTCTGCGAAGATGATGCTGTTAAATTGCTTTCACACAGACTTTGTTTTGATATTTTGTGTTGCCATTTTGTTGGGAAACGGAATCAGCCCGTCGCTTTCTACATATAACAAATAAATGTTTGACTAACAGTCTCTCCAGGACTTGCTTGTATGCTTTTAACTATATGACAGACGCTTCGGCAGGCGGAGAGTTGCAGGGCGGAGCCATGGAGACATCTGGTCGCCACCTGGAGGCCGAGGAGGGACTGTACCTGCCTGAACCAGACCGCGCCTCCCTGCATGACAGTGAGGGTCTGTTAAATGTACACACCACACGGGTCAGAACAAAGCGACTAAAGTTTCTGCTTTCTGAAGCACAGTCTGGAGAAAACACATATTAAGAGCACTTTCCTCATTTGAAGAAAATTAGATTTGATTCGACCAATGGTTCATTTTCCCCTTCATGTCTTTGATGTAAAATTACAACCAGATGTGTGAACTTGAGTCAGATGTGAATCATGAATCACATGATTTTAAACTTGATTTGAAAAACTCAAAATACAACGCGCATTTGACTTTAAAGTCTCTGAAAACTTGGCCTCGAATCTCGTCTCTACAATTTTAAATGTCCGTCTTTATAAAGATTAACACTTAAAATCTGAGTGAATCAGCTGCATCACGGCTGTGTTGGTGTGGTTTGATCACATTTGACTGAAAGCATCTTGGCAACGTACACAAACACCTCAGGAAATGGCATCTGTGATAAAAAACCTAGATGCCATATTGATGACACTAAAAAGATGTAAATCTTTAAAAACTGATCACTGATCATATTTCATTTCATTTTTAAAAATTTGGGGCAGCAGGACGGTGTGTGTGTGGGACTGAGTCAAAATAGTCTACAGTGAAAGTTCGTTGATTGATGTGTTTTGAATAGTTTAATAGGGAACAATGGAGCTCTTACGGCTCAGAGGAAGAGGATCTTATTTTTAACTTCATGTCAGGTATTTTACCAACTGAAACAAAACTCCTTTCCTAGCACTATGAGGAGGAGAAAAAAATATTATTATTTAAATGATGCCAAGTTGGATAAATCTGAACTTCCACAACAAATCCCACATCCCACCTGTAATTAACACCACAGTAGGAGACTGATGTGCATGTTTTTCCAGCCGGTTGCTCTGATTTATGTGCGAGCATCTACTGACCACATTTAGATCAGGTTAAATCACCCAAAACTGTCTTTATTTTTTAACCATCTTGTTGGAAATAGTTTCACATATATTCACACCTGGGAGCTCGGCAGTGCAACCGCAGCCTGTCGCTGTCGGACATTAGGCATCTTCACTGGAGCGGTTGACACTCCGGTCCATCCAGCTTCCTCAAAGCTTGTGTTAAACCAGAGAAGATGGGAGGCTGATAGAGCGGAGCAGGGATGGAGCCGCTGCAGCGGTGAATTCTTCTGTGTGCAGGAGACTTTATTTATTTTTATCTTTTTCCTTGGATCATGTTAATGGAAAAGTTGTAACTATTTTAAAGACCATTGGACCCTCTTCTTATTACAATACATTTCATCATTAGTAAACATATAGTTTCTGAGTAGCTCTTTGAAATGTTAAAAACAAATTTGCCTTTGGCCTTATTTATATTCCTCAGAGTTGGAGTGGTCTGATAGTGTAAAAATACCCTGCACATGCTGCCTCCTCCTTATCCTATAGGGGAAAGTAGGCCAGCATTATTGGAGCTGTACAGTATATGCAGATTGTTCCAGGAAGAGCATAAAGGCTTAATGCAGATACCCATGCGTATGTATTTATATGCATAAAGCCTTTTAAGAAGTTGAAAGCCAAGTGAGATAATATGCTAATCTCTAAACCGCAGTGACTGATGTGATGGTGTTTGCATGGATCAGTTTGATCACACCTCATACCACCGTGACGCTTCACAGGAAGCACTGGGCGGTAATAATGTGTGCGCAGTGTTTCCTCACGCTCTTATCTTTCTTTCCTCTCAGGCTCAGGAGGTCACTCAGCCCAGATGACCTCGTACTCAGACAGCGGTTACCAGGACAGCAGTGTTAGTTATTATAGCAACCAGAATGTGGTGCGTTCAGAGCCCCGGGCCTCGCTATCAAGAAGCCCAAGAGCGGAGGGTCAAGCCTCAGGGCAGGTAGGCCTGATCTACACTGGCTTATAGCACTAGTTTCTTGGTTTGTTTATTTGAGTTGTTGTTGTTTTTTGTCTCTTTAAGAAGAGACACGGACATGTACGCACGTCCACAAGTCTGAAAAATTACACATAAAAATGTGTCCATGAAAATCGGCTTGAAAATTGGACCAGAAAATATCAGAAATCACAAGGTTCAAAGTTCACGCTCATTCTTGGAAACAACAGTTGAGAGTTACCTCACTGTCCACTCTGTAGCTTTTGATCATATCACATGATCTTCATCCCCAAAAAGCGATTGTCCAATTATAAATAAGTCCTTTAAATGCTCATGGAAGGAAATGCAGCCTGAAGATCACATACCATGATGATAGCTCCAGTATTTTCCCAAATGAGAAATCACATTTTACTTCCCATATGTGACTATTTTTCAGACTAGTGTCAACAGAAATATTTGGGTCTTCATCTCTGAGTAATGACAGCTGGTGGAGGATCAATAATCGCTGTGGTGAATGATGAAGAACATCATCTAAAACCGTCCAATCAAATTGAGTCTTACCTCGAAATTTTTAAGACTCCAATGCCATCGGCTTCTTTTGCTGTGGCTAATAATTATACGCTCTTTGCACGACACTAGAAGCAGGAATGACAGATAATGGTGCGCCCATTCGAATTCTCTCTTGATTTATTCCTAACCCAGCAGCCTCACTGGATGGGCTTACATGTCTCGGCTCTTAATTTTCCTCCGAGGCGTTTGAGGCTTCGATGGATTAAGGCAGCACATATCGGCATCCAGTTGGCTGAGTCTGTAATTGAGGGACATTTTACATTTGGTAATAAGGAGGGAAAAGTAAATGTTTGTCCCCATAAATATGAAAGATTCTGTCAAGTCTTCCCTGAAATGTAATATATGTACTACTTGCAGAGCTCAGCCCGCAGTATAATGAATTTAGACATTTATTCAAAGGCACGCACATTCAGTTACATGGACAAATGAAAAAGATAATGATGCCCTTCATCTGACGTGATGAAGCATCCGGCCTCAGAGTGTCTCCTCACTGGTAATTGGCAAATATATTTGCAGATGGAAGCAGTGCAGTGTCTGTATCTTCATTTTTCAGGTATTTATTCAGAAAACAGGAGTTGAAACGATTAATTGTCAGCAGTGTTATGAATATTATACTTGACATTTTAGTTATTTTGGGCCTGGAGTGAACATTGATGCCAAGAATCATGTGAATGCTAATTAAGAATTAGTAAAATGTCATTAAATGGCATTTAATAAGGACATTGAAGGACCTTTTAGATATTTTAGATTCATCTCGCAAAGTTTGGAGCAATCCGTTCTTGACTGTCATGATTATCTCATGTCAACAAATAAGTGTTAGAATTCCTGAAATGATAGTTGCTCTAATAAATAATACTGATAAATAAGCAGAGGTTTAGCATTTATATTTCAAACCTTTAATACACAAATGTTCAAATTGTTTTTATTTACCATTGATTTTTATGTTATCATCATGAGACTGGGCTTCTAGATATCAAACACATGCTTAATTGTGTACATAATTGAATGTAATGGTATTTGCACAGCCATAATGACCTGTGTAAATGAAAAGGCCTTTTATGAAGCTTTAATGAAAACAGGTGCCTCATTATCACACAACAGGTATTAAATGTCACATTTACAGTATCTGGGAGCTACAGTCTTTCTCCCATCTTCCTCCCAGGCGTCCAGCCGGGTGTTGCGGAGGATGGCCTCCCTCCCCTCCAGGAGCCAGTCCCCTGGCTGCGGCACCGCCGGCACTGTCTCACCCTCCCGCATCTCCCTGCGAACATCTCAAGGCAGCACCTACGACTCGCCCATCCTCTCTGAGCCCAAACCTCTGGCTGCTGTGTTCCCCGGCACCACTATGCCGCCATCCTGCCCGTCACCCACCTCCCCGACCAGCGGCACACAGGCCCTGGGTGGTGGGGGAGGAGGTGGGTTAGGAGGAGGAGGTGGTGGTGGACGGCTGGGGTCCACCCTCTCTCTGGTTGAGGGGAGGGGTCTGACGGGGTCACCACTGCGTTCGGGGATGACGGCGGTGCCTCAGCACTACGGCTCGACGCTGCCCAGGCAGAGCCAGCCGCTGGCCTACGGAGCTGATCCATACGGCCTGTACCAGAGGAGCGCACTGCCCCGCCCCGACAGCCTCATAGGTCAGTGCGACGTCCAATTAAATTACATGCTGTTAGTTGGCTGAGTACAGGTGTGGTCACAGTAGACATCGGTCCAATTAAATTGCACCAGAAAAGGGTGTGATGTAATATTCTAACATTATAGAGGACACCTACAATAATAGATTCTCCATTTCCAAACAGATTATCACTGGTTCTCTTGCAAATTGTTGCTACATGTCACAATAATAAAACACGTTTTCTGGCTGACGAAAAAGAAAAATGACCATTAAGGGCTGCCGTAGTTTTAAAAAGTTTTGAAACCACTGGCCTAGTTGCACATTAGCTGGCTACTCAGAGCAGGTCCAGAAGAAATTTGGACATTGTTGTTTAGTTTTCTTAGCTGAAATATGTCCATCACATTATCACATCCTTGTCATCCATTGTTGTCTTTGTTGGGTTTTGAATTCTCTTTATTCCTCCTTGTTTCGTGGCTTGAAATGGGTCAGATTCCCCAGATATAAATTCACTATTTTACATTTGTCCTATTTTTTCTTAAATCTGTTTGTGTTAATAAGTGCATCTCTACCTCACGTCTTGTAATTAAAGAGTAGATATCCAGACTCGACAGCAGCGGTTCCCAACCGTTTTGGCTTGGAGCCCCTTGGATTAAGGCTGTATCCACTAGCCAGCCCTCCTCACAGGTGTCAGATGTTTATGAGCTGAAATTTCACCTCTAAACTGTCTCATTTGAATAAATGTTCAAGGCGAGGTAAAGAGGTAAAACTATTCCATATTTCACTAAAAGGAAAAGATTAATGATGTTAAATTCAAATCGGTGTAGAAAACTTTCCCATTTAACATCTTAAGACCGCACAGATTTATCTTGTGACCCACTGGTTGGGACTCACTGCGCTACAGTTTACAATGAAAAGGTCGAATTATATTAGACTTCTTTTAACAGCACAAATGCAGGTTTTAAAAGTGTTGAAGCTCATTTGATACTGTAATGGTTCATGATTAGCTTAATACAGAACCATTACTGGATCCAATCAGAAATCAAGGCGACATATTATGAAGCCAAAAATCGTTAAGTCATTCTTTATTTTAGTTCCGTCATTGTCCCTTAAGGGAAAGTGGCTTGCAGCAAGTCATTTGAGACATTAAATCCAATGGCATAATAAAACTGTTACAGCTGCATTAAACTTCCATGAGAGAATATATCTGCATAAATATCTTCATTCTGCAATTGGAGCTGGAAGATGATAAAATAGACAGTTTATCTGAGGCTTAAATTGAAAGGTGTCTTCACACTCAGCATCCTTGTAATGGTGGTTTGGTATCGTGTTACACACGGACGTGTAAGACTCATGAACGGATGTTGAGTGAATGGTGCAGTCTTTCAGTGCTCCAGCTTTAGAATCAGTGGAAATATAAATGGTTAGAGAGGTCAGTCGGGACCCTGGAGGGTTGATGGGTCAAATCCAACCAGGTCAGAATCTGGGCCGGAAAAACTCACGTCAAGTTTGCTTTGAGCAAGTTGCAGCCCTGCAGTGACAGATGATGATGTGTGTGTGTGTGTGTGCGTGTGTGTGTGTGTGTGTATCTGTGTGTGTGTGTGTGTGTATGTGTGTGATGTGTGTTTGAAGTGTTTTTCAGCAAACCTTCTCGTAAATAAACAAAGCCATGCTCCGCAGCCTCGACACCATTTCCTCTGTTGATTTAATCTCTGCAAAGAGTCCTGCGGGACGTCGTCATCAGCAAGGTCAAACAGCCGAGCAGTTGAGGGATTGTTTTTCCATCCATCGCTCTCAGAGACACATTCATGTTCAAGAAAGCGCTCCAATTATAAAGATGGCTTTTAGGGCGAGTGGGGTTTGGGTTCAGTCTAACAGTCTGAAGCACAACCATTTTGCACTTAACAGCTGCGTAGCTGATGGAGGCTCCAGCTTCTGCAGCTTCTCTTTCCTTTATCTCTGCATTTTGTTGTGACATCAAGGGTTTGAAACTCTAGTCTTAACTCGCCTAAAGAACACTCTCCCTTTGGAAGAAAAATAAAATGTGCCTCTTAGTTGTGACACGATCTCATTGAATCTGGAACTGAGTGTCTTTCTCGAGGTTCTTCTGTTGCTCTCGGGCTAGCTGCAAGGACACAAACTTGAAATTGTGACCTTTGGAGTTAGATGATCGCTTGGCCACTAGTGCTTCAAAATGTGCCACGATGAATGTCATGAGACTTCATGTTTTGAGTGTGGAGGTGGTTTGTATTTATAAAACTAGATGTTACTGTGAAAAACCAGCGTTAAATTTAGCAATGAGACATGCTATATTTCATGCTTTTCATACAATTCTCCAAATGGTTGTAGGTTGGTCAATATTGCTTTCTACGAACCCGCATTGGTAATGGAAGAATTCAGATTGAATTAGCTAACCTATTTTGAATCATTTAACCCATTGTAGCTATATTCTGCCATATGTTTGTTCCATTCTTTTCCATATCCAATTACTGGTTAAGAAGTTACGTGTTTCACAAGCTTCCGATTTAATCTGATTTTTTAACACACCTCAGTTATTCCAATGACTTTTGCTATCTTCCGATTGCCTTATGCCATTACTTTTTGTTCATCCTACTTTCACCTTTATACCGACGTTTTTACATCCCATCCATCCTAGCTTTGATCTTGCAGCTAAGACTCTTTCAACTTACTTTATCTTTATAGTTTTTTCACTCTTAATTTATCAGTTACACGGTTACCCTTCTAGGCTATACTTAACTAATTTTCAGCTGTTTTAGTCTGGAATTACATTACATTTTGAATTTAGTAATTCATACTCATCTATAACAGCCGTTTCCATTTTAGCTGCTTTAAGATTTATCCGCTCGCGTCGCTTGGTGTTAGATGTATTGATGTCGAACACATATATCGACTAGATTACTTCAAACTATGTCAATGTCTTGTCAAATAAACTTGAGCATAACTTCCACAATCTCTCCACATCCTGACTGAGAATCACTGCCACTATCACCCACAGATACCTTTCCACATTTCATCTCTATCACTTGGTGATGTTGACAAATTTTCGCTTTATTGTATGTCAATTCCAGGAAAAAAGAGAAGAGCTGGATTCGCAATGCTTACGTTTGCTGTTTGAAGAACTGCCCCACACAGGTTTCCACTTACCTAAAGCTACGAGTGCTCAACTGATCAGTAATGTAGCCTAATTACTTTTTGTATATCCATCTATATGCCTTATCTCCCTGCATGGAATCTGGATAATGTTGTGAGATTACGTGCAGGACTAACTTGGGAATAAAGGTATTTAATGCTGATTGTTATTAGGCCAACTTATCAGACAGCAGGATGAAAATCACTCAGCTACGGAAGTGAGGAGCAGGCATTTTATTTAGTCCACTGACTCTGCTCCACACACACACACACTACATATGTGTATATATACATCGTATATATATAGTGCACAACACAACCAACCTACCTTGCACCATCTTCTTCTCAACATATGCACAAACACAACAGCACAACACAAAAGGTGCATAAATGCATATGCTAATCATTAACATCCACAAACGCACACCACCACACTCGTCACATGTAGAATAATAGGACGAAATAATAAACCAGGCGCACGCACGTTGATGGCGGCATAACTATTATATCTCCAGTTGCCGTCAGCTGATAATCACATGCTGATGCGTTTCCACGGGTGATAAGAACACCCTTATATGGTCAGTGGGGAGCGGCTTAGTGAAGTGACAGAGGGCAGGACGGAGAATAAATCGTGTGTCGCTGCAGCATCAGCAGCACTTCCACGAGACAGTAAATCTCCATCTAAGCTACAAAAGCAGCGAAGTGGGGAGAAAGTTGATGACCAGTTCATAACAGAGGACGAGCGGGGAAGAGACTTCTTATTTTCCAATGTTTGACGAGAAGAAAGGTGATGTATTTTAATCATCAGCAAGACCCCCATGACAACGTCTAATACATCCAGTTCAAAGCTAGCACAATGAAAGTTTTCTTTTGTGGTTTGAAATTTCAAAAGCGAGTGTAAGCCAGGCTCAGTGAAGAGGCTGGCAGCCACACAGAATAATCCCCTCTCAAGTTTCTGAGCCAGCCTCAGCCGGACTTAACCATCAATGAAGCACCAAAGTCAACGGTTTGATCTCCAGGGATTTCAGTCATCTCGTCATCGTCATCATTCTTGTAGTCATTTATAATTCACTCAAGTTTTTAGCATTGTTGCTGGCCTTCACTGCCAGGAGACTGCTTAGTTAGAGTGGTGCTAGAAGGTTTAATCGGTTGCCAGATAATCTGATAACTGATGAAAACGTTTTTTATCTCTTATTGATCTCTATTTTGTTCTTTAAATATATTTAAAAAAACCAGAGTACTTTAACAACCACAGCTAAAAACTGCCTATTTTCAATGCAGTGAACTTAACAGCATGGAGCTAATGCCTGGCAAAGGAAACAGTCTGCCCGCTACCAAACTTCATTCAAGAATTTGGTAAAAATAAAATCAAAAAAAAAACACATAAGAAGATTGATTTATATTATTTACATGTTTTACTCTCATTTGTTTAGTTTGATGTCATATCATTGCTTGTATTGTGTGTATAGGATTTGGACATTCTTGTTGATTATACTGCTTATATGTTCATAAGGACCCCAGGAAAAGCAGCTATTACCATGGTAGACAACTAATGGGGAAAAATAATGATGTACTTATTACATTTTTCTCTGTCATCAATTGAATATCTTTAGTCTTTTAAAAAAAAATGACATGTTTGTTGTTGTCTTTATCTAATAACAGCGGAAATACAACCATCTTTCACACCCTGACAATTCACTTATCGCTTCAGTAACATGAATATACTTTTTAACTGCAATAATAATCAGGTGACATGTTTGGATGCAAAGAGAATATTCCACTGTTTGAACGGCCGTTAAAACTCAGCCTCGACCACATTTCACGCGGAATAAGGCCTGCCGTGAGGACATACTGGCGTGCTCCCTCGGGCGACCC